GGCCAGACTTCATCTCACCTACTTTGGGCATGTTGTCAGAAGGGACCATTCCCTGGAGAAGGATGTCATGCTTGGTAAGGTGGAGGGTCGATGAGAGAGGGGAAGGCCCTCAAAGAGATGGACTGACACAGTGGCTGCAGTGATGGACTCAAGTGTAGCAAGGATTGTGGAGCTGGTGTGGGACTGGGCAGTGTTTCATTCTGCTGTGCATAGGATCGCTGAGTTGGAGACGACTCGATGACACCCAACAGCAACAACAACCCAGTAATCCAGTGGAGTTACAAAGACTATGGCTAGAAAAGCCATACCAAGTCATTCACTGCACTGCAAATAACCACCACTATCATTGATTGTATATCATTTTTATCATCCCAATTACCAACTCCTCTTTCCCCAGACTCTACCCTAGGCAGCCACTAATCTACTTTCTGTCTCCAGATTTGCCTATCCTGGACATTACACACAAATGGAATCACACAATATGTGGTCTTTTGTGACTGTCTTCTTTCAGTCTTCAAGTTTCATCCAATTCTTCAATCCTCTTTATGGTCAAATACTACTCCATCGCATGGATCTATCTTATTTTGTACCACAAGTAAGAACAATAGTCTATGAGTGGATACGTAGATAGACATGCAGGCTAAACAGGTGTGGGAAGGCAAATGGCCTATACCCAGTAACGACTCACCAAAATAGAATGGAAAACCAATTTACTCTGTAAACTTTCACTCGAATAACAACAAAAAGTTTTGTTTTTTTTTTTTAAAAAAAGAAGTTAGTGTACCACAATCGATTATAGAATATTTTCATTACCCCCAAAATTTACTCTTCACTTTTGCCCACATCCTCCTTTCCTAGCCCTAGACAATATTTTCTGACTATGGGTTTGTCTATTCTAGACATTTAATACAATATATGGTCTTTTGTGATGGGCTTTTTTTACTTAGCATAATGTTCATCCATGTTGTAGCATCAGTACTGTAAAAATGGCATGGCAGAGGCATTTGACATCCTCTAAATTCACAAAGAGGTCTTTCCTCCTTATCATTATCAGCATCATTTTCAGGATCATTATCAGCCTCAACAGCCCAAGACTGATTCTTCTCTCCAAACTTACCAATTGTGATACCAACTGTCCCACCCATGGCACTCTCTACTTCTCTGCGGGGTTCAAAGCAGTATGGCACTTCCGAAAAAAATGGAAATAGAAATACCTTATGACCCAGCAATCCCATTACTAGGTATATATGCCATAGAAAAAAGAGCTGTGACATGCATACCCATGTTCATTGCAGCACTATTCACAATAGCAGAAAGGAAACAACCTAAATGGATCAACAAACTATGGTGCATACACACAATAGAATATTACGCAATGTTATAGAACAATGATGAATCTGAGAAATGTTTCATAACATGGATGAACTTAGAGGACGTTATGCTGAGTGAAATTAGTCAATCACAAAAGGACTAATATTGTATGATACCACTACTATATAGTCAAGGAAAAAAAAAGACCTATGATAGATAAGCACATATTTTATACCATCTTTAACATACCCCTCACACACACAAACAATACAGTCCCATATTTAAAAGTTTTATATATGTGGTATCATATCATTTTGCATGCTATTTTTTCACTCACAAGGATCTTTCAGATTATTCTTTTAGAATAAAAAAATGAATTGCTCATAATCTTAAATACCAATGAAAAAGCCTTCCCTATGTAAGGCCTATGTAAGCCATCCTATATAAGGAGCCCTGGTGGTTTAGTGGTTAAATGCTTGGTCGCTAACTGGAAGGGTGGTGGTTGGAGCCCACTAGCCACTCTGGGAAAGATGTGGCAGTCTGCTTCCATAAAGATTACAGCCTTGGGAACCCTGTGGGGCAGTTCTACTCAGTCCTACAGAGGCGCTGTGAGTTAGAATGGATTCAGTAGCAACAAGGTTGGTTTTTGGGTTTAGTCCTATACACTTTGTCACCTGTTCCATTTCAATGCCTCCTTTCTTGGGTTTTCTATATGTATCATTGTCTACTTTCTTACTTCTTCCTTATTCTACTCAAGTCTAGCTTCCACCTTACCACATTGCATTGAAACTGCTTATCAAGATTACCAATATTCTCCGTATCACCACATATACATTTTGGTTTAAAATGCACATTAAATTTCCCCCCCCATCTCTATATTGGGATGTCTTACATTGATGGTATCATTATAAACATTACATTTTTTTTTTTTTTTTTTTGCTTTTGGGTATACACTTAGGAAGGATATGCACATTTCAACTTTATGATGAAATTCATTTCCAAAATCATGGTGCCAATTTGTACTTCCTTTAGTAGTGCAATGAGAATTTCCATTTAGCAATTTTTCCTTAATAGCATATAAAATAATGGTGTACCTTATAATCGATGGCATCTTCAACTTAACAAAAACAGAGCACAATGAATAGGTTTTTGTCATTTTATGACTTTTCAGCTAGTGGCTCCAGTAGACCTCAACCTTCTGGAAAATTTTCTCCTGACTCCCATATACAATACCTCTAAGTTCCACCTCTTACTCTTTGCCCACTTTTTTCTTTGCTGGTTCAAATGATGGGCACTCAAGTCTCCTTCAGTGATCACTTTTCCCTATGTGCTCTGCTTGGGGGTTATACAAAGTCCCATAGTGACAGCTGCCAGATTACTGCAGCTCATGTCCAAACTTCTGCTCAGTAGTTCAGACTGAAATCTAACTGCTAAGTTAACATTTCTACTTGGATGTCTAAAGGCATTTCTACCCAACATGTTTAAACCAAAGCTTCTGGTTTTCCTCACTTAAATTTTAATTATTTCTCAAGCCAGAAACATGGCAATCCATGTTTTTTTTTTTTTCCCACTTTTTCTATCTCCATTGACATCACTCTAGTTCCTTTCTAGACCGCTGCCACAGCCTTGAATTTTACTTTTCTCCCATCAAGTTTACACAGCAGCCAGATCTATCTTCCTGTTAGATCATGTGGTATTATTCTCCTACTTACAACTCTCAACACTTCCTACAATGCAGTTAAGTCTAATGGCCAAACATTACTACCCCCTACAAGCCTTGCCCAGTCTGCTTCCTGCCTAACTTGAGTGCCTGCCATTCTGCCTGTGCTTCAGCCTCTTTGTAGTTAACTCATTATTCAGAGTTAAACATCACCTCCTCAGATAAGACTTCCTTCAAGTAATCCCCCTCCTCAATTTTATTTTACAACATTTGATTGCTTCCTTTGTAGCTCCTTTTCCTTTTCTTCACAGCACAACTTACAGGGGTTTCTTTCTTCTCTGCTGATTAAGTCACCTAATGATACTGATAGGGAGCACTGGTGTTGTAGTGCCTAAGGCTTTGTCTGCTAACCAGAAGGCTGGCTATTCAAACCCACCAGCCATTTCTCAGAAGGAAGATTGGGAAGTCTACTTCTGTAGTGATACCGCCTTGGAAACCCAAGGAGAGGTCGCTGTGAGTTGGATCCAACTTGAGGGCAGTTGAGTTTGGCCTTTTTTTTTGGTTGTTAATGATATTGATAAACACACACACACACACACACACATACACACTCTCTCTCTTTCTCTGCAGACTTCAAAAGAGCAGAAACTGTTTCTGCTTTGTTCATCTGTTGTTCCCAGGGCTGGGCCCTCATGTGTTTGTGGAAGGAATTGAATGAGGTAATCAGACATACTAGTTATCAAGTATCTGCTAGGCTTTCATATGAAAGATTCATCTTGGAAGGTTCTAGAAGGTAAAACTTCGATTACAGGATAGAAGCCACAAGACATTAAAGCTAAATCTCAAGATAAGAACACTTTTGCTAAGAATTATAGATATCCAACAATTCCCAAGGCAGCAAATCATAATTTTGTATTTAAAGGCTAGATAGCAACATTTTTTTTTTTTTTTTTTTAACAGTAACAGTATTCCTCCATGAGGAGGTTGGGCCAGATTACCTCCAAAGTCTATTCTCAGACTTCCATGGGTTCCCTGCAGGTAGTATATAGATAGCCGAGTGCCTACAGAGCTTTAACAGTTCTCTCCAGATCCACAGACAAAATAATTCTTCTGCCTGAGCTACCTCCAAAGGCAGAAGAGGGAAAAATTCTTCCAAGAAGTCCAGGGAAACCTGGGGTATAATATTAAAATTGAGACCAACAGATGACAGTACTTGGATATTATTCAACTTTATTAAAAATTAAAACTACAGAAAAAAACTGAATGTACAGATAAAACGGGTAGAACACTGATGAACATAGCAATGTTGACAGATACTTGTTAACTATCAGATAACCTTTTTAATCCATATCCAGCTCCTCTCATCTATGGGGGAAGAAGACAAGCCATGCCATTACAGACAGAAACTGACCATCGACAGGGTCCTGGTCTCTCCTGTACATAGCCTACATGTTCTCTACTTACCGTAGCTTAGAGAAACCTTCCCAACAGAGTATGGAAGAAGATTACATATACCTTTAACCTGCTCTCAGGTAAAAGGTGGCAGAAGCAGCCTGCACATGGAATCCATGCCAAGAGGGCAACAGTTCTCTAAACACCCTTACACACTCAGTCACTTGAGACGTATCTTGCCCGAGTACATCATACTTTCTATCATGGGTATCCTGAACACAAATAATTCTGATCGAAGCTACTAAGCAGAGACAAACCACTTTTAAGTGATGGGCTCTTGTGCAGCTGAAGAAGAAACACGGAAAAATGTGTTCACCTGAGAAGGCAAGAGAAGCATAAAATGGAGCAAAAGAAACAAATACTATGATTCTAAGTCATAGCCTTAGCCAGGAGTCTGTGGGCAAAGCCAGGTGATTCAACTCCAAACCCTGCCTGACCATATCTCCAAGTCCACAGAGGGCTGGTGTTGGGCTTAGAAAGCACAAAGTTACTGACCACTCAATTCTGCCTTCTCAAACCGGAAGGTACAGTAAGTTAACCCTGATGGCCTAGGGCCCTAGAATTGCTGAAGGATCATTTTCCGTTTCAGGTCATGGCTGAACTTGTTCATCCTAAAGAGTTCACTGTCATAAAATGCTGAGAGGTTGTGGATGTTGATCTGACGAGCCTAAAAAGATAAAAATGTCAAGTAAGTTGATAGTGATGGTAATAATGATCTCCAGTATTTATACAAAGCATTGTATCATCATATGCAACATAAGAATGATCATCTCCACTTTATAGGGGGAAAAAAGCCAGATACAGAGAGAATTAAGGGCCTGCACCTAGATGATATGGGTTCAAATTTTAGCTCTTCCAGTTACTGTGTGAACTTGGACAATGATGACTGATAGTTGTAACTATCAGATAACCTTTTTAACCCATATCCAGCTCCTCTCATCTATGGGGGAAGAAGACAAGCCATGCCATTACAGACTTACTCTGTACCTGTTTCCTCCTTTGTAAAATGGGGATGATAGTAACAGGATCAACCTCATTCAGTTGATGCCAAGATTATCAGTTCATTCAGTGAGAGCTCAGCACACTGTAAGTACTCAACATATGGTGATCAACCAAGATCCCACAGTTACTGCATGATAGAACAAGAACCTCTTCCACCACTGTGGTCAAGTCCCTAAAGATGACTCTGGCAACACCCAAGGTTTCCAGCCCTGACTCTTAACTCCCCTGCATGTCCATACCTTGTCCACCAAATCCTTTTCAGGCACTTCAATAGTGTCCTGCTGGGCCCCAAAGCGGTTGCGTTGATATGTCACCTGTTCTGCCACTAACTGCTTCAATATGAAGAGTAACAGTTCATTGTTATCACGCCGGAATGAAAGATAACGGGCAAAAGTCTGCAGAGCAAAAAAAGCAAAAGTTAGATGACACTGCTCACTCCCAAGACCATCGAAGCTACTATAGGATGACCAGCTCCCCACTTTGACCACACTTTCCCTCACCTCCTGCTCAGAGCAGCCAGACCAGGAAGCCACTGCCTGCAGGTAATACGGTAAAGCATAGGATTCATGCCATGTTCCAAAGGGCCCTAAGCCTCACTCATACCCACCTTACGCATGCTACGCATGACACTGAACTTTTGTGTGTCGATGAAGCTCTCCAGCATCACACGAATGGCCATGTTGACATCATCCTCTATCACGTAGTCCCGCAGATGGATACGTGCATGGGCCTCTGCCATGCGGATCATAGACTCAATATGCCGCACCGTAATGGGGATACTGCCTGTTGCCTAAAGAGAAGGACACTGTCAGGTCTTACTCAGGTAGGAAAGGGAAAAAAGGAAAAAAGAAATGGCACTCTTAGCAGCTTGAAGGTGATGATGCCCAGGGGATGCTGCATACTACTTATGGCTTCTCACTATAGTGCTTGTACATTTTTTGTTATACTTGCTGCCAACTGTTATTATTCTCAGGTAACTAAAAGAAAAGCTGTTGTTATTTCTATGAAAATTAAGCCAAATGCTCTAAAAAGATAGTTAAAAGGCAAAAAAAAAAAAGTTGTCAGATCAGATGTAGGTGAGGTGGGTAAAGTGAGTGAGACACACAAATCTGCAAGAACTCTACATTCCAGTTGCTTGCAAGGTGGCTTTTAATTCTCATTCTACTGTCAAATCCAACCAGACAATGTGTTCATTTTGGTGAGATTTATGCAAAGTCAATGTGGGACTTAATCAATGGACCAACACTCAAAAGGTCTTGTTCCTATGACAAGACAAATGAATGTGCATTTAATTTTACCTAAAATAAAATGGTAAGGTACACAAGTACCCTGTTTTTATGCCTTCCTCCTTTGGACTGACTGACCATCTACCACCAACACATAGGTCCCTATATTCCACTCTGCCCACCCATCCAGGCTCCATCTCTGATGCTCTCACCATAGATTCTTTCCTCAGATCACTATACATCTTGGCCACCTTGTCCTGATCCATCTGGTTGAGCTTTGGGTGGACCTTCTCCTTGGCATAGATGATGTACTTCTTCAGGACCTCCTGGGGTAGAGGCTCCACTCCGTATGTGTTGGGCATGGCAGGCTCTGTGGCATTGCCATTAACCAGCCCCTCCTCTTCCTTATTGCTTGGGTGGTGTCTGACATGGCTGCCTACCACAAAGCGAGCCAGCATCTCGTCCTGAGAAATGAGACCAGAGGTCAGGCTGTAAGGTAAGTCTCAGTGACTTGGCTTGGTGGATGAAATCAAAACCTGTATGTCCTATGAGAATGACATTTTCTCAATAGCATAGATCCTACACCTACTAGGTTTCAGGTACAGTGTTAGGTACTAGGAATATAATGGTAAACATGAGAGAGTCCTCACAGAGCTTACTTTCTGGTGAGGGACAAGAAGATAAACACATTTTTTTGGATTTTAAAGTGACAGCATTCTCATTCAGATTCCAGGGACCTAAGAATAGGCTCTGTTTGCCAAGGATGACAGGGATATATGGGAGGCTGACAGTGAGTGAGAAAGGAGACAAGTGGTGAGCGTGTAAGTGCTGCCAACTAGCAAACAGAAGAGCACAGCACAGTACCCTGCTTAACATCCAAACAAAATGAAGAAAAGGAAAATCATGGGCAAGTCACTCCAACATACAATCATCAATGAAATGCAAACACAAAAACCTCACAATGCCTAGGAGACAACAGAGCACCAAAGTCCACACAAAGAAGCCATATAAAGCAAGAGAAACAAGGGACCAGGATATAGACCCCAAACACATCCCTGAGTAAGATGCAGCATTGGAATTCCCTGATAAGGAATTCAAAAGAATTATATATAGGTATCTTCAACAAATGGAAACACAGATCAAGGAAAACACTGACAAAACTGAGGAAAACACAGACAAAAACCTACAACAATTTCAAAAGACAATACAAAATAAAACGACAAAATAAATAATACAAAATCTACACATAGAAATCCAGAAAATTAATACTAAATTTTCAGAAATAGAAGAGACATTGAATGGGCAAAGGAGTAGAACTGAATCAATGGAAAACAGAATTAGTGAGACTGAAGGCAAATACCTCAATACTTCTTTAGAAAGTGATCAATCAGAAAAAAGATCAAAACAAAATGAAGAAAGCCTAAGGTTCATGTGGGATACCATCAAAAGTAATAACCTACGTGTAATCAGAATTCCAGAATAGGAACAAACAAACAAAACCACAGAAAAAACGGTCAATGATTTGTTGGAAGAAAACTTTCCTGGTATGATGAAAGATGAGAATATATGCATTAAAGAAGTCCAATGAACCCCAGACAGGATAGACTCCAAAAGAAAATCACCAAGACATCATCATCAAACTCACCAAAACCAAAGACAAAGAAAAAACCCTGAAGGCAACACGGACGAAAAGTTAACTACAAGGGGCAACCAATAAGACTAAGCTTGGATTTCTCAGCAGAAAACATGCAGGCAAGAAGACAATGGGATGGTATATATAAAACCCTGAAAGAGAAAGATTTCCAATCAAGAATTATGTACCCAGCAAAACTGTGCCTCAAATATGATGGTGAAATTAGGATATTTCCAGAGAAGCAGAAATTAAGGGATTTTGTTAAAAGCAGACCAACCTTACAAGAGATGCTAAACAGAGTCCTTTGGACAGAGAACCATTAACAGCAAACAACAACTGATCATTAATACACATAATGACAAAATCCAGAAACCAACCCAGTCATAGAAGTATCCAAAATAAATAAGCCTGTAAGACTGTAAACAGGGAACCAGTCATCAATTGACAAACAAGGACAACTACAAACCAAAAAGAGGAAAAAAACTGCATAGTTACAGAACTTCTAAATGGTAGAGAAGTCAAGACAACTACAGGATAGAATGGATTTTTTAAACTAGGGAAGGAAATTATAAATCACAAGGTAACGTCAAAAAAACACGATAAAACTTCACATAGAAATAGAAGAGGACCAGCACAAATATTTAGCAAATACTAAAACAACAGCAACGAAGGAAGTGATAACACAATTCATAAACAAAAAGAGCACAGCACAGAAAATTATATCGAAGAAAGAAATCAACACCATGAAAAAGCGTAACAAAAATGACAGCAACAAATACAAACTTGTTGATAATTACATATCTGGCAAAGGACTTATCTCTAAGATTTATAGAAAACTCCAACGCCTCAACACCAAAGGAATTAACAATCCAACTGAAAAATTGGCAGAAGTCCCTGGAACTGACTGCAAGGTCCCTGGACTAACACTTCACCGAGGAGGATAATCAGGTGGCCAACTAATACATGAAGAGATGCTCATGATCATTTGCCATCAGAGAGATGCAAATCAAAACAACGAGATACCATCTCACTCCAGCACTTACGGCAAGGTTGAACAAGACAGAAAATTAACAAATGCTGGCACGGATGTGGAGAGATTGGGACTCTCATACACTGCTGGTAGGACTGTGAAGTGATACAACCACTGTGGAAAGCAATATGGTGATTCCTTAGAAAGCTGGAATTGGAGATACCACTTGACCCAGCAATCCCAATACTAGGTATATATCCTAGAAAGCCAGGCCAGGAACAGATATATGTACACCCATATTCATCGCAGCACTATTTACAATAGCAAAAAGATGGAAACAACTTATGTGCCCATCAGTGGAAGAGTAGATGACTAGATTATGGTACATACACACAAAGGAATGCTATTCAGCACTAAAGAATAATGTGGAGTCTGTAAAACACTGCATAATATGGATGAACTTGGAGGACATTACGCTGAGTGACATAAGTCATTCACAGAAGGACAAATATAGTACTAGTTTGTTGCTGTGGAGTGTCAAGGAAAGGTTTATATATGGAGGGAAACTTTCTCTGTTGGTTACCAGGGGTCGGAGGGGAGGGGAGGGAACACTGGGGGAAAAAAAAGGCGTTGACCCATGGGAAAAAACAAAATAAATGGAGGAAAAAATAATTAATTAATTATAGAAGTAACACGCACAATGGGATAGAGGGCCTGAGGAAACCATGTTAGCTAACTTGTCAGACAAAGCTAAGAATGATGAGAAGACAGTCAGGTTAAGCTCCAAGACCTGGTATGTTTTAGGGAAAGAGATTAACACGTACAGATGAAGGGAAGGGAACAGGTAAGCAGTTAATGACAGGCCATGAACAGATCACACAGGGCCTTGCAGGCCGAGGTGAGGACTTTGGATTCTACTCTCATTATAATGAAAAGCTACTAGCAGCTTTTTAAGAAGTGGCATAATTTGATTTATGCCTTCAAGAGATGGCACTGTCTTCTAACCAGAGGATGGCCAAATTGGGTGTAAAAGTGGAAGCCAGGGGATCAATTGTCCAATGACTGCAGTCCTTCAGGTAAGAGATAAGAGAAATCTGGACTTTGGTTGGAGTAGAGAACTAGTGAACAGCAGTTGGATTCAGGAAATAATTTGGAGGTAGGACCAAGAAGACTTCATATTAGATTATAATCAGTAGGAGCCCCAAGGAGGGGTGCTGGTGAAGGAAAGAGAAATCAAAGATGACTTTCAGACCTGAGAAGAGACACAAGAAAGTAACAAAGCTAAAAACAATAGACTACAGGTCTGTGCTTAGCAGCCCCTTTCTCTGTGCCCAAAAGTCCTGACATACTACATGGTTCAAATCTCACTCAAGGCCCCTGGAACTGACTGCAGGGAACCCCCAGGACATGGGAGTTGTGTACCTGGACTGGATCCACTATGTCCCTCACCACACACAGGATGTCGAAGCGTGAGATGATGGGCTCCGTGAGGTCCACGTTTTCTGAGAAGGTGAGGGAGGGATCGTAGCGCCCTCCTGTAATACAAAGGTACCTCTCTATCAGAACTCCTTGGAGCTCCCTGCTGGATTTCTTCTTTTTCTTAACCTTCAGGAAGTTCTTCCTAACCCCAGGAAGTGTCAATGCCAGAAGGAGTAAGGGGATTGTAAGAGGAAAAGAGGCATAAGGGATACTCAATACTTGCTATGCTAACAAAAGGGATTCTGGACAAGAGACCAAAAGATGCTTCCTCTTAGCATTTACCTGGTGTCTTAATTATCTAGTGCTGCTATATAACAGAAATACCTCAAATAGGTGGCTTTAAGAAACAGAAATTTATTTTCTCAGTTTAGGAGGCCAAACTAAACTAGGGTAAGGCTTTTTCTCTGTTGCCTCTCTTCTGAGCTTCTCCTTGGCAAGCTTTACATGGCTTAGCATCTCTCTTGCACCATTTGTTTCTAACTTGCATTTAATTTCTTTCATATCTCAAAGGAGACTGACTCAAGATACATGCAACACTAATTCTGTCTCATTAACATAATAAAGATAACCCCATTCCCCAATGTGATTATAACCACAGGCATACAGGTTACAACACATACTTGGGGGAGGGTGTTCGGGGGGGGGGGGCTGGCATAATTCAGTCCTGAAATTGCCTTTAGCCAGAAAGCTGTTTCCCATGGCTCTTGGGCTCATGAAATCATTTCCTGGTTGAGAGGAACCACCAACTCAGCTTCACTGAAATTCTTCCATGTGTTCTAAGAAAAATATAGAAGTTCTGAGAACATGGCTCCAACCAAAACCTAGGTGTCCCAAGTCCTACTTCCATTTTTTCCTCCTCTGGCAAGAATAAGAGGGAGGGAGCATTTTGTTTAGATGAACTCCTTTCTCAGATTTGCACCTAGATGTCCCCATCTTTGGTAATTGGAATGGGAGGCTCCTGGTTCATGCAGGTTTTTCTCCCACTGTACATCCCCAAACCCCTCTGCCCCCCACACTGCCTGGTATACCTATGGGGTTGGCAGCAGCAATGACGGTGCAGCGAGCCTGCAGGGAGGTGACAATACCAGCCTTTGAAATGGAGATGCTTTGTTGTTCCATAGCCTCATGGATGCTGGTTCTGTCCTGGTCATTCATCTGCAAGAGATTCAAATGCCTCCCTGTTAGCCTGACCCTCGCCTCTACTACACCTTGCCCCAACATTCTCAATTAACAGACTGCCACTGAGGGCTAAGCCAACACACCTCGAATCCTACAAACCTATGTGGCCCCAACACACACCTTGTCAAACTCATCAATGAGACACACTCCTCGGTCAGCCAGAACCAGGGCTCCAGCTTCTAAGGTCCATTCCCTGCTGACAGGATGCCGCTGAACATATGCTGTGAGGCCTACTGCTGAAGCCCCCTGGCCAGTGGTGAAGATGGCTCGGCTTGAGACTTTCTCAATATATTTGAGGAACTGAGACTTAGCTGTGCCAGGATCTCCACACAGTAGCACATTGATATCACCTCGCACCTTGTGCTTACCACCTAGGGGAGACAGGGATAGAAGGTTAGGGAATAGGAAGAAAGGGAGATGAGGGGTACAGAATGGTATTGTTGTTGTTGTTGTTACGTGCCGTCGAGTCGGCCCCGACTCATAGCGACCCCGCCTTGGGTTTCCGAGGCAGTATCACTACGGAAGTAGGATTGCCCAACCTTCCTTCCGAGGAGTGGCTGGTGGGTTTGAACCGCCAGCCGTCTGGTTAGCAGGCAAGTGCCTTAGCCACTATGCTACCAGAATGGTATTAGGAATGGCAAAAGGATATTCTCTCTAGAAAGAGACATACACTCCTGTGACTAGCAATCCCACTCCTGAGTACTTACCCCAGAGGAACATTTGCATAGGTACACAAGGAAGCATGTATAAAAACATTCATTGTAAATGTGAAAACCTGGAAACAATTTAAATGTCCTGAGTAAAAGGATAGCTAAACAAATAATACACACATCTTGTTTTATTGTGCTTCACAGATAATTCCCCCACACACCCCCAAATTGAACATTTGTGGCAACTCTGCATCAAGAAAGTCTATCAGTGCCACTTTTCCAATAGCATGTGCTCACTTTGTGTCTCTGTCATTTCTGGTAATTTTCAAATATGTCAATCTTTTTCTTAATGCTATTACACATTTAGTAGACAAACCACCCACTACCACCAAATCAATTCTGACTCTTGGTGACCCTATGGGACAGAGTAGAACTGCCCCATAGGGTTTCTAAGGCTGGAAATCTTTTCAGAAGCAGACTGCCTCATCTTTCTCCCACAGAGCAGCTGGTAGGTTTGAACCACTGACCTTCTGCTTAGTAGTAGCCCAAAGCTTTAACTATACTGCCATCGAAGCGCCTTAATAGAGTACAGTATAATGAAAACATAACTTTTATATGCACTGGGAAACAAAAAATTGTGTGACTTGCTTTACTACAGTGGTCTAGAACCAAACCTCCTAAAACCTCTGAGGTATGCCTATACATACAGATTATCATACGGCAATTTAAAAGAATGAAATTGTTCAGTGTACACTAACACAAAAAGATATCAAAGACATGTTATTAAATGGAGAAAAGTAAGCTGGATCATACTATGTATAGTGATATCACTTAGACACACATATAGGAAATAATAGATTTTTAAATAACATGTGAGATGGTACAGGACTGGGCAGTGTTTCATTCTGTTGAAACTGACTTGACGGCATCTAACAACGTGTTATGGAAAACCTCTGCATATGAGGAAGTATATATGAGGAAGTATATAAGTATATATGCATATATGAGGAAGTACATGTAAATGCCTATGTAAAGGCTAGAAGTAAATATACCAGCCTGCTAAAATAGACTGCCTAGCCAAGGGTTAGAAATCGTAGTCAGTGGAGATTTGAGCTTTGTATTGTGATTTCTAAGTATTTTATAAAAAAGGATATAATATTAACATAAATACATATTCATGTATTATTTTTGTAGTTTAATTTTTTAAAAGATTTTTTAAAAAATTTAAATAAAAGAGAACAAAGAATTTAATCACAAAGGAGGACAGTGTGGACTGCTACAACCCTACAGCACCTAAGGTGCTATGGCTCTGTGCACTATTTTCTCCTGTGATGAAGTAATCACAAATTCTCTAGCCATCTTTTAATATTTTATTTCTCCCCAGAGACCCGCAGTTTGATTATAGAGTCCTGCCTAGTTCATCAACTAGAATACTGGCTACCCAAAACATACCAAAGTCCCTGCAGAGGACAGGAGGGTGGTGTATGCTGCTGCTCACCTGGGTTTTTGGCCTCTCCTCCAAACAGAGCCAGAGCCAGGCCTCTCTTGATGTCTTCATGCCCATAGATGGAAGGAGCAATACTGGCAAAGATCTGAGAAAGGGAAGGAGAGCCAATGGGAATGGGGATCTCTGTTATCTTAAGTCTGGGCCACACTGACACATAAGCAGAGTAGTCAGTCATTGTCTCTGATGGTGCAGCCACTTCTCACAGTGCACAGAAGCACAGCACATTTTGATAAGAGAGTCATAACTACACTGACTACTTTGAAAAGATGCCTCAAGGAGTAGAGAAAGGAACAGAATAAACTATGCACGTGCAGGAACATGAAGCAGCTATGCAGACAAAAGTTAAAACCCGGCAAGTGAGAGCAAAGACTGTTGGCGGAACAAAAAAGGGGACTCCCAGCTGTGCTAAAGGGGAACTACGAGGGAGAGGCTTTGGGTGCTTCACAGGAGGGTGGGTTTCAGAAGCCTTGTCCTCATCACTCAACCTTTCACTCCTTCAAGTATTTCCTCTGCCAGGATCTGGGGACAGAGGTGAACAACCCAGACTCAGCCCCTGTACTCGGGGAGTTTATCACCTCAGAGGGAAACGATCCAGTAGGCTAAACAAGCCAATTGAGATATTAAATGTTAAGTTGCCCTGAGGACCAGGCTCCAGGGGAGCAGAAGAATAGAGGCACTGCTCAACATTAAAAACTGAACAGGAAAAAGCACTGAACAGGAACTAAAGAGTTTGGGAAGAATGGGGAAAGAAGGAAAAGGAGAGGAGAGGGGAAAAGAGTGACCTTGACAATCACATTTAGCAACCCGGGAGCAGGTTGGAGCTTAAGGAGTAGAAATTCCAGTGAAAAGGAATACAAATTTAACATTAAACTTAAATAATTTGTGTCCCTGCAATGTAAACCTCCATCTCCCAAACATTCAATGAAAATGACATTAAAAAACCACAACATTTGGGCAGCTTTCTTACTGAAGAAATTACTGTTGGTAGGAGTTAGATACAAGGGAGTACATTACTCACGAGTTATTCCTACTGTTCCACCTTCATTTCAAGCACAAGCCTGTGCTCAACATGATTAGATGAATAAAAAAGGAAGCTCTATTCCTATGCTGTAACAATAACCAGGTTACTTTTCTCCCAGAGGACACTGGCTCAGCGAAGTCATCCAAGTTATCCAACAACCTGGCTAGAACGTGGCAAGGCTAGGACTGGAGTTGTCAATCTCTGATTCCAAAGTTTATGCTCTCTTTCCTTATAGCACAGTGCCTCCCTATCAAGGCAAGGTTACTGAGATGCACACTGACAATCACATGAATAAGAAGGGAGCATAGTTTCCAAGGCTGAGGCACTAGGGGTAGCAATCCAGCACCCATAACAACCCCAAGGAGCCCCCTTGCTTCCTCCCAGGAGCTTAGCAGCCAGCCCTGGTCTAACTTCCACTTGCCTTCTCTCCAATCTGCTGATCCCTGGAAAGGCTGGTGATCATTTTCACATCCTCATCAGTCAGTTCCCCTACAGCCACTTTATTGTCTTTCTTAGCCACATGGTTGGCCAGGATGACAGTGGCAAAGACAGGGAAGCCATGGGCAGTGTTGAGGGAGCCGTCGTAGTTGTTGTGATAGATGCCAGTTAGCTCCTAGGGAAGGAAGGGCAAGTGATCAGTGACCAAGGAGTTAGAAACAGGAGCTAGAGTCCACCTCTGTGCTGCTTCATTTCACTTCTTCTATTCCAAGTTCTCCACACTACACACACCACGATGAGTAATGGCTGTAAAAGTGAAAACCATCTGTAAACCCAACACTCCAATCAGCCAATCCATTTATGAAAAGGAAAAGTCCAAGGACTGACCTGTTGTTGTTGTTATGTGCCATCGAGTCGGACCCGACTCATAGCAACCCCTCCTTGGGTTTCCGAGGCAGCATCACTACGGAAGTAGATTGCCCCATCTTCCTTCCGAGGAGTGGCTGGTGGGTTTGAACCGCCAGCCTTCTGGTTAGCAGTCAAGTGCCTTAGGCACTATGCTACCAGACCTAAGCCCCCTGTATTCCCCTGGTCAAAAAAACTCATACGTTTCCTCACAGATCTAGCTCCTTCCCAGCCTGTTCATGATCACTTACTATCTCGTCTCCTGGTTTGCAGCTATCCACCAGATCGGCAAGGAGAATGGCATCCTTAGAGCGGGGCAGCCGACCGGCTGCCACCTTGCCTGGACTCTCCTGAATTCGGATGCGTTGGTAGTTCTGATAGATTGTCTGCATGGGACAAAACAGAAGGTTATGGGGCTCTTCCCTGGTTAGTATAGATTCCATAGATAGTGCAGCTACCCTTTTAATTTCTGAAGGTACTGGCTTCTATGATGTCACCAATACTGACCATAGTCCCATGGGGAGGGAGAATAGGTGGTTTTATTATTTCCATTTACAATAGAGTCAAAGACAACAAGGAATCAGCCACTAAGACCCAGGAAATTTGCAGATGGTCCCCCTTCTTATCACCATCCTTCTGGAATGCTTTCTTCCTGACAGACACTTGACAGGTATAGATTAAGGACCTATTGTTATATGTAGCATAGGAGCCCTGGTAGTGTAGTGCCTAAGGCATTTGACTGCTAACCAGAAGGCTGGGGGTTCAAACCCACCAGCCACTCCTCGGAAGGAAGGTTAAGCAATCTACTTCCATACTGATACCGCCTCTGAAACCCAAGGAGGGGTCGTTATGAGTTGGATCTGACTCCATGGCAGTGGGTTTGTTTATATGCAGTATAGCTAAGCAGTTATGAGTAAGCATGCTAGAGCAAAGCTGTCTAGGTTCAAATCCTGGCTCTGCCTCTTAAGCTGTGTGATTTTGGGTAAGTACCTTCTCTCTGTGCTTTCTTTGCAGCATGTTGTTGTTGTGTGCCGTCGAGTTGGCCCTGACTCATAGTGGCCCCTCCTTGGGTTGCCGAGGCAGTATCGCTGTAGAAGTAGATTGCCCAACCTTCCTTCCAAGGAGTGGCTGGTGGGTTTGAACCGCCAGCCTTCTGGTTAGCAGTCAAGTGCCTTAGGCACTATGCTACCAGAGCTCCTAGGGATGTTAATACTATAACTGTAACCTCACAATAAGGATTCAATCAAGTGATACATATAATGAACTTAAACCAATACCTGACCAAAATGGTTAAGTTACACTAAGTGTCAGCTCATATTGTTAAACACTACATGCCATCACTGGATACAATTTAATAACCACTGCTCCATCTATAATGGTGGTATAGCAGTTAAGTGCTTGGCTGCTAACAGTGAGATTGGCAGTTCAAACCCACCAGTGGCTTGCAGGAGAAAGATGTAGTAGTCTGCTTTTGTGAAGACTGCAGCCTTGGAAACCTATAGGGCAGTTCTACTCTGTTCTATAGGGTTGCTATGAGTCAGAATTGACTCAATAGCAACAGATGTGGTTTCTGGTACTCTGTTTACTGCCTTTAAGAGACAAGATGATGTAACAGTTAAAAAGCACAAGCTCTGGATCAAAATATCTGAGTTCAAATTCAAACAAGATCCATTCCTCACACCATACACAAAAATTAATTCAAAATGGATCAAAGACCTAAATGTTCAATCTAAAACATAAGGTTCTTAGAAGAAAATATAGGAGCAAATATTTGGGATCTAATTTTTTTCAATGATAGCTAATCAGATAAAACAATGAATGCGTAAGCAACAGAAAACAAGTTAGTCAGGACTTCATAAAAGTTAAATACTTACATTGATTTGGGTGAAGGGAAAGGCAATATACTAAGAGCTAGTAACCAACACAATAACACTAGGGGAAAAAGAAGACACAGAGAGGTGCATAAGAGGTACAGACACAAAGATAACCACTTTGACATACACAATGCTGAACTGAAAGTAATAGCAAACATTAATCTACAGATAGATACATAGGTAGACAAGTTGAGTGATCAGGTACATCTAGGCAAACGGGAATATACCCATTAGTACATGTAAGTTTGGCAGATGGTTATTTCCACAGGTACGTGCTCTAAGAATGTCCATATTCCAGGTTTATTGGTCTGACAGAGCTTGGTGAGGCCCCCGAAACTATGGCCCCAGTTACCCTTCAGGCCTGGAATTAAACTTACTCCCATAGCTTCCAGCCAAACAACAGACAGGCCTACAGGATGAACAGTTATATCAGGTAGATACACTCCTTAGAACAATCAATCATGGGAGAACAGAAGGGCAGTATTTGCAGAGAGAGATAGCTCAGGGGGCAGGAATGCATAGGAAAGAAGGACACAGGGAAGAGGTAACTACAGGGAAGAAGTAGGAAGAGAGTTGTTACATTTTGGGGAATCGCAATCGATATCATGAAACAAAATGTGTATGAACTGCTGTATGAAAATGAATTTGCTCTGTAAACTTTCACCCAAATCATATTAAAAAAAAAAAAAAATTAAAAGACCATATATATAATAGAGCTAATGGGGCAAAGTTTTGGGATAACTTCTTAGCCACAGCAAACACCCTGAGGGAGTGAGTCACTGGGACCAAAGGCCCAAAGGCTTGGTACCATGTTCTTGGGGACCATCAAGCTCAACTGGCATAACATACTGCACAAAAAACACTGTTCTACTTTCCTATTTTGGTGAGTAGTGACTGGGGCCTGAAAAGCTTGCAAGTGGCCACCTAAGAGGCAACAATTAGTCTCTTCTCATCTACAGCAAAGAAGAATGAAGAAAACTGAAGACCCATGAAAACAATTAGTCCAAGGGACTAGTGGACCATGAGAAACTCAATCTACATGACCCTGAGACCAGAAGAACTAGATGATACTTGGTTACCACTGTCAATCACCTGGAAAGGAATTAAAATAGAAGATCCTGGATAAAGTGGGAGAAAAATGTGGAACAAAACTCAAAATCATAAAAAAGACGACTTACTGGTCTAAAAGACTGGTGAAATATCTGAGACTATGGCCCCAAGTACCCCAAGTAACTCTTTGGGCCTGGAATAGAACTCACTCTCATAGCTTCCAGCCAAATAACAGACAGACATATAAGGTTAACATTTACACCAGGTAGGTACACTCCCTAGAACAATCAACCATGGGAGACCAGAAGGGCAGTATTTGCACAGGCAGATAGCTCAGAGGGCAGGAATGCAGAGGAAAGAAGGACACAGGGAAAAGGTAACCACAGGAAGAAGTGAGAAGAGCGCTGTTAAATTATGGGGATTGTGATCAACGTCATGGAACAAAATGTGTATGAATTGTTGTATGGAAAATGAATTGGCTCTGTAAACTTTGTCTATACCAGAATAATTAAAATAAATAAATGAAAAGGTATTCTGCAATGAAAAAAAAGTTAAACACGTTCATCAAAAGATTTTATTGAAAGAGTAAAAAGGACCAACATGCAGACTGGGAAAAAACATTTGGGAATGACATATAACTGATAAGGATCTAATATGCAAAATACACAGATAGTGTCTAACTACCAGTACTGGCCAGGCTGACCAGGGACACAATGGAAGGTCTCAATTAGAATGACAGAAAAATGTAGAACAAAACTCAGATACCTAAAAAAGGCCAGATTTCTGGGAACAACAGAGACTAGACTATCACCTTACATACCCACCATTGAACTTGGAACAGAAGCCACTCCCAGTGGTCACCTTTAGTCCAAATAATGTTATATCTGTTAGGTGGGTCGAGTTGGTTATGATCAATAGTGATCCGAAGTACAACATAACAAAACACTTCTCGGTCCTCACCATCCTCACACTCATTGCTATGTTTGAGCCCACTGCTGCAGATACTGTGTCAATTCATCTTGTTGAGGGTCTTCTTTTTCACTGACATTCTACTTCATCAAGTATTATGTCTTTCAGCAGGGACTGGTCCCTCCTGATAACATGTCAAAGCATGTGACATGAAGTATCACTATCCTCCCTCTCTTTTAAGGAGCATTCTGGCTATACTTCTTCCATCATAGATGTTTGTTTTTCTGCCAGTTCACAGTATATTCAATATTCTTCACCAACACCAAAACTAAAAATCATCAATTCTTCTTTGGTCTTTCTTAGTCACCGTCCACATGCACAGGCTACTGAAAATACCATCGCTTGGGTCAGGCATGTGTCATAGTAGTCAAAGTGGTATCTTTGCTATTTAACACTTTAAAGAGGTCTTTTGCAGCAGATTTGCCTAGTACAATAGGCATTTAATTTCTTACTGTTGCTGCCATGGGTATTGATTACCAATCCAAGTAAAATGAAATCCTTGACAACTACCTTTTTTCTCCATTTATAATGATGCTGCTTATTGGTTCAGGTGTGAGGATTTTTACTTTTTTAATATTGAGATGTAATCTATTCTGAAGGCTCTAGTCTTTGAACTTTATCAGTAATTACTTCAAGTCTTCTTTACTTTAACCAAGCGAAGTTGTATCTACATCTCAGGCTGCTAATAAGTCTTCCTCCAATCCTGATGTCACATTCTTCTGCATTTAGTCCAGCTTCTCAGATTATTCGCTCAGCATACAGACTGAGTAAATATGATGAAAGGATACAACCATGACACACACCTTTCCTGAATATAAACTAAGCAGTATCCCCTTGTTCTACTCAAATGTCTGCCTCTTGGTCTATATACAGGTTCTTCATGAGTACAATCAAGTTCTGGAATTCCCATTCTTCACAATGTTACCTATTAATTTGTTTTGATCCACACAGTCAAATGCCTTTACATAGTCAATAAAACACAAATAAATATTTGCTATCAGTCAAGATACATCTGATAGCAGCAGTGATAGTCTTCCTTTCACATCATCTCTGAATCAGGCTTGAATTTCTAGCAGTTCCCTGTTGATGTACTGCTGCAACTGTTTTTTTAATTATCTTCAGCAAAATTTCACTTATGGGTAGTATTAATGATATTGCTCAATAATTTCCACATTCCGTTATATCACCTTTCTTTGGTAAGAGCACAGATATGGATAGATATACTCTAGTTCCAAAGAGCTACCAGTCAGGTAGCTAGCTGACTTCCAAATTTCTTGCCACAGACAAGTGAGCACTTCCAGTATAGCATCCATGTGTTGAAACATCTCAGTTGGTATTCAGTCAATTCCCACAGGCTTTTTGCCAGTGCCTTCAGTGCAGCTTGGACTTAGTCCTTCAATACCATTGGTTCTTGGTAATATGCTACCTCCTGAAACAGCTGAACATCAACAGTTACTGTGTATTCAATTCCTTCTATCTTCTTCTGATGTTTT